AGGACTCTACCTGTGTAAACTAATGTAATCTTCACAGCAACTTTCAAGTTAAGTGTTTTTGCTATTTTCATTTTACAGACAAATACACTGAAATATAGAGCTTCCATAACTGTCCTCAAGTCACAGAACTGAGAAGTATTAGAGCCATGATTTGGAACCATGCAGTCTATAGTCTATATCCAAACCTCACATCCTTAAATATCATCTTATTTTACTTGTCTATGTTGCACTGATTCTAAATTATGTGCTGAATAAATCATTCATGTTTAAATGAATTAATTCACTCTCACATACCTTCCTCCCCCATATTTCATTGAAAATTATTTGCATAACGTTAACATCGATTTCCAAATTGTTTCTGGTCAGGCACGGTAGCTCACACCTATAATCCAGAACTTCAGGAGGCCAAGGCAGGAGGATGGCTTGAGCCCAGAAGTTCAATACAAGCCTGGGCAATATAGTGAGACCTCATCTCATTATAAAAATAAGAAAAAAATTAATTGGGCGTGGTGGTCTATATCTATAGTCCCAGCTACTAAAGAGGCTGAGGGGGAAGGATTGCCTGAGCCCAGGAGGCTGAGGTTGTGGTAAACTGTGATCCTGCAGCTGCATTCCAGCCTGGGTGATAGAGTGAGGCTCTGCCTCGAAAAATAAATAATAAGCTGGGCTCAGTGGCTCAGTCTGTAATCCCCCGCCTTCGGGGGGCTGAGGTGAGTGGATTGCCTGAGCCTGCGGGTTCGAGACCTGCCTGGGCAACTTGGCGAAACCTCATCTCTACAATAAATCAAAAAATCAGCCGGGTGTGGTAGCACATGCCTGTAATTCCGGTTACTCGGAAGGCTGAGGTGGAAGGATCGCCGGAGCCCAGCAGGTCGAGGCTGCGGTGGCCAGGAGCGGCCACTGCACTCCAGTCTGGGCGACAGAGTGAGACTCCAAATCAAATATAATAATAATATACTAATAATAATAATAAAAGATTCTTATACTTCTACCTATTGTATTACCTGAATAATATTTGTGATTTGAAAATGCTACCTACTACTTCCTTTCTAGAAATTTCTGCCTTTCTGGTATTCCTTTCCCAATTTGCTTGATCTTCTTCCCCATTTCCTCTTAATACATTGGTGTTGCCCCAGGCCTCAATTTCCTGTCTGTTTCACTTTTTACTTTGTTTATATACTTTTTCTAGATGCCCTCATCCACACTGAGTTGTCATATATCACTTATATGTGGGTAACACATATAAATATATATCACCAATGCAGATATTATTTACTTGCCCATTGTATGAGGGGAAACCCCCCCAAACAGGAATTTATTTATTAAAAAACTGTGTATTTATTCTTACATGTTTAAATTTCAGTCACATTCAAAGTACTTTTTGTTTGATGCAAAGCGCCTATCAGGTGCTTTTTCCACTGCTCAAAATAGTTTTTGGACTGTCAATTTTGATGCCTTTCAGTGCTTGTGCTGTTTTTTGTTTCACCTCCTCCGCATCAGCAAAATGTTTCCCTTTGAGGATTTTTTCCCTCTGGGGAAAACAACAACAACAACAAAAAGTCACTTGGGTCGAGAGCAGATGAATAGGGAAGGTGGAACTCAGGAGTTATGCCATTTTTTATCAAAAACTGCTGAGCACTCTGCAAGATGTGGGCAGGTGCACTGCCACGGTAGAAGAATCAGTCACCTATTTGCCACAACTCAGGACATTTCTTCTCCAAATCCTGTTGCAACCTTCTCAAAACTTCCAGATAAAAACCAATGGGTTTTTAGAACACTTGCCTAGCAGGAGAAGCCTCTACTACAAGGGACCTGCTCTCCAAAAGATAATGCCAGTTTTTTGGTGGTGTCCCCCTCATATAGCTTCCTTTTAGGTTTCATTGACACTCCAAAGTCAACCACTCTAAACAAATCTCTTCATTTCACTTCAAATCTGTTTCTCCTCCATATCCCATTATGCCCCTTTTAAAATTAATTTTATTTTATTGTGTTAAGAAAATTCCTTAATTTTTGATGTTTGATTTTATTATTAGTATTTATCCTGAAAGCCCAATAGACTATAGGCTGGCACACAAATGATATCAATAAGTATTTGTTAAAAAAAGTAATAACTTGTAACTGAATAATTTAAAAAATTAGTATTAACTCGTGACTGAAAAATTGGTGTTCATTAGTCAGCCATGGAATTGTCTTTTGATTGTTTTGGCATTCAAGGCCACTATCTGTAATCTATATGCATCCTCTCATTTTCAGTAGCTAAAATAAACATAGTCCATTCTTTTATTCGTTTTTGTATATTAAAATTAAAATCAGATCATATGTCCTTAGTAGCATCTGTTTCTCTTCTAGGATAATCCAATATATAACATAATTATGATGTATATATGTCAAAACGTCATAATGCACATGATAAACATATGAAATTTTATGTCAGTTTAAAATAAAGCAAAACAAAAAATGTATAAGATAATTGCATACCTAAGAGCATGAATAAAGCTCCACACTGGTGTGCCTCTGAATATTCTTCATGTCAAATCTTGCCTTTAAGGTGTGAAATCATTTTTCATCTTTTTAATTTATTGATTTGCTCTGCTAATAGATTAATAAAAATGTTTTCCTTTAAAATATGTTTAAATTAAAATGGGCTCCAAATGATGGCAAAGTTAGTTTGTTTCTTTTTTATTTTGTTTTGTTTTTATTTCTATTTTTATTTTATTTTCCTGTTTTATGTTTAATCTCTGTTCTCAGGCTATTATTTCAAATAAAAGCCAATAGAATTTTTGTTGCCAGTATCTATTTGGCATGAACATAATTAACGTCTTGCTCTCTTTGACTATAAATAATCAAACGATTACTTCTTGCCATGCCACCTTCAAAAGTAGCAAAAGCCTGTTTCTATCAGGTTCCCAGATTAATTTGTGTACCTTATTTTTCAGTCAACTCATCAATAGCAACTAGCTTGGAGTAACTGGAAGCTGCTAACTAATTTTGTGGCATCCGGTTTCATTAACTCGGAATTGTACCTTTAAAATAATGACATTGAAAAACTTGTGAATTGATTGTTGGATTGATGAACTTTCTCACAAGCTTCTTTAGTAGCATGTTTTATATTCTACATAATATAATAAAGCTAGAAAACATGAGTATTTCAGAAGTCTGATACTAAGAAAAAAAGTATGTGAGTGCAAATATATGCATTTCCATGTATCAGATGTTACATAAACAACTGATGGATGAAGGATGATTGATAGCTGTCAAGTAATAACTTTTTCTTGTTTGCAATAATTCAACTCTTTCAAACTCTAAGGCATAAGCATGTATAGAAACAATCAATATGTCCTAATTCTCTGTAGGCACTTGATTTTCCAGAAGTTGATAAGGTCACATTTGTCAAATTTAATCAATATAAAGCAGTTATTGGTAGAATTTCTTCAAAAGTATATATTTTTGTTCTGTAATGAGAGCTCTGAAAAATATGAAAGCATATGAAATATTTTCCTTTTTTCCTTTTTTTTTAAGAGACAAGTTCTAGTCAAATTGTCCAGGTTGGTCTCGAACTCCTGGACTCAAGCAATCCTCTTACTTCTGCCTCCCAAAGTGCTGGGATTACAGGCGTGAGTCACCATGCCCGGCTGCATATGTAATATTTTTCATCAACTCCATATAAATTTCAAGTGCTTCATTTTAATTTAAAATTTCAAATACCATTCTGCAATAGCCTTGTATGAAATTTTAAATTAATTTTTAATGAACAATTTTAAAAATAATATTAGCTTAGGAAAGATATTTACTGCCTTACTTGGGAAATGCTGCCATCCAGCATAAGCAAGCATTCTTTATAGCATAAGGAGTTTATTTATAAATGAGGTATTACTTTTCAAACTTCCTTTATGTTGTAAGTACTGTTCTTTGACTGATTTTCAGTCTGTTAGGCTAGCTTTCTGAATTGTCTGGACAATAATCCCTGAGTGTTGCTGATGAGTTTTTTTGCACTACTGTTAGAGATAGCGTCTTCATACTTCCTGCCACTTTCAAAGGACATAGTAGCAAAGCCCTAAATTGTGCCAGAATCCCACACTTTGGCTCTCACCATCTCATTGCATGATGATCTTTTGTCGGGATATAAACAACCTGAATAGGGAGGCTTGAATATTGATCAAAAATCTCTGCTTCTTTCCAGTATCTTTCATGGATGACACTTTAGGAGCCTGATCGAAAAGATACAAAATCTACCACTGAAAAATTTCTTACTGGTCTCTTCTTTCTGTGCTGGTCAATTTCTGCTAGCTTAATTTTTTCTGCTTCTGAGAGTAGAATTTCCCACCAAGGAATCACCTTGATAGTTGTGCCTGAAAACTTTAACCTCTTTTCTAACCACATTTAATATTACTCTGTGGTGTGATGAAGCAGAATATTGAAAACTGGGACTATTCAGGAAATTGCAGAATACAACTTCACAATAGTTATATGGGAAAAAGAGATCGAAAAGTTTTGCTTAATCTGTAGCCAAGAACTGTTAGAGGATTTATGTGATGTGTGACTCAAAAATTTATCTGGTATAAAAATTATAAAGTATTATTAGCACCCCTATTATTCTACTTTATTTTAGCTAATATAATGTATAAGAATATAGTCTTGATTTCTTATTTTATTATTATTTATATCCTTATTTAGAATATAAATTTCATGATAGCCAGGAACAGTAGTACATGCCTGTAATCCTAGCCACTCAGGAGATTGAGGCTTGAACCCAGGAGTTTAAGGCCAACTTAGAAAACATAGTGAGATCTCATTTCTAAAAAAAGAATAGAAGCATTATAAATGTAGAAATTTCTTCCTTCGCTGTTGAATCCAACAAATTGATCATTGTGCTTGGTATATTAAACAAGTATCTGTTTAATCCATGAATAAAGAGAGGCAAATGATGTGTCTAACTTTTATTTTTATCTGACTCTTACATGAGCTAATTGATCTGGGTTTTTTTTTCACATTTCATGTAGGAAGTGAGCTGTGTCTTTCCAGCCATGACAATTACAGTTGCTGAGGCCATGGTGAGATGTAACCAAACGATTACAGTGACTGAGCTACTCTTTTCTGGATTTCCCCAGTTTGAAGATGGTAGCGTTGTCTTCTTCACTGCTTTGTTTATCATCTACATATTCATTGTTATTGGGAATCTAATTGTGTTTTTTGCAGTCAGGATGGATACTCATCTCCACAACCCCATGTATAATTTCATCAGCATCTTCTCATTTCTGGAGATCTGGTATACCACTGCCACAATTCCCAAAATGCTCTCCAACCTCATCAGTAAGCAGAGGACCATCTCCATGATTGGATGCCTTTTGCAGATGTACTTCTTCCATTCACTGGGAAATTCAGAGGGGATTTTGCTGACTACCATGGCCATTGACAGGTATGTAGCCATCTGTAACCCTCTCCGTTACCCAACCATCATGACCCCCCGGCTGTGTGCTCAGCTCTCTGTGGGCTCCTGCATATTTGGCTTTCTTGTGCTGCTCCCAGAAACTGCATGGATTTCCACACTGCCCTTCTGTGGACCCAACCAAATCCATCAGATCTTCTGTGACTTTGAACCTGTGCTACGTTTGGCTTGTACAGACACGTCCGTGATTCTGGTTGAGGATGTGGTTCATGCTGTGACCATCATCTTTTCTGTCCTGATTATTACCCTCTCTTACATCAAAATCATCACTGTAGTTCTGAGGATTCCCTCTGTTGAAGGCCGCCAGAAGGCCTTTTCTACCTGTGCTGCCCATCTTGGTGTCTTTCTGATGTTTTATGGCAGTGTGTCCCTCATGTACCTGCGTTTCTCTGCCACTTTTCCACCGATTTTGGACACTGCCATTGCACTGATGTTTGCAGTTCTTGCTCCCCTTTTCAACCCTATCATCTATAGCTTGAGAAATAAGGACATGAAGATTGCAATCAAGAAGCTTCTCTGTCCTCAGAAGATGCTTGCTGTATCTACAGTTTAATGCCAGCCTGTAGGCACCTTTCACTTTGGATGTTACTCTAACACAGTAAACCATAAAATTAACATATGATCTATTCGCTGTAACACTGTTATTTTATATATCTTTATTCAAGTTCTTCTCATGTACATGTTTATTATGCTTATGCATGTGCAATTAAAAGAGCATTGACTACCTGTCTAAACTTATATAGATGGATAAAATAGAAAAGAAAATATGTTTAAGCCATTAAAATATGTTTTATAAACATTACTGTATTACTTTAATATAAATATTATTACTTAAGCATTATATTGTATAAGCATTATTAACAACTATGGATTATATACATAGTAGTTAAAAGAATAATGTATTTTAAAAGTAGTAAAAAGAACAATGTATTTAAAAGTAGAGCTTCATGTGCTATTATGAATATTAAACGTATTACTTTATGCAAGTGCTTAGAACACTGCATAACACAGAACAAGTACAAAGTGTTAGCTGTTAAGATTATTTATCACTAATTACTAGCATTTCTTATTGATGCTTTAAAGACAGCTGTAAGCGTAACAAATTAAAAACAAAACACACAGGAATACTTAGCTATGATTATTGTTTAAGTTTGTTGTTATTATAATTTCTCTGGGGCCAAGTTGAATTCTTTATTTTACATGAACTGATTTGGTTGAATTCAACCAATTAAAAAATTACTTAGTCTTGTCCTACAATGTATGTATTAGGACCATTAACTTTGTCAAGGCATTAACCATTAGTTAGTTAGATAATTATAATTAAAGAGCGAGTGAGACAGAGACCAAGAGATTTGGGGATTTAAGGCAAATGCTCTCTCATAAAACAGATTAACTCTAATATACAAATAATTAAAATAGTTCTTAGTTAAAATTTTAATGAGATTTGTGAATGCAGTTACAAGAAAAAAATTACTAGCAAATATAAAGTACAATGGAAATATTAAAAAATATATTGAGCCAGGCTCGGTGGCTCAGCCTGTAATCCCATGCCTTTGGGAGGCTGAGGTGAGTGGATTGCCTGAGCCTGCGGGTTCGAGACCCGCCTGGGCAATTTGGCGAGCCCTCATCTCTACAATAAATCAAAAAATTAGCCGGGCATATTAGCGTGCGTCTGTAGTTCCAGCTACTTGGAAGGCTGAGGTGGAAGGATCGCTGGAGCC